CGAGAGTCGAATTAAGGCCAATTTGAATAACATTCAGAGGGGTAAGAGTGATATGAATTCACATTTTTCAAGGCGCTATTAGTTTCAGTCACAAGAAAAGTTTTATAAGCTTAGTGTTAAGTTTTCTAAGACTGAACTATGGTTCTTGTAAATAAATTTGCAAAAAATTGCTTAATTTTACAGAATAAAGTATAAAAATTAGATTATGATTGATATATCAATAGTAATTGATATAAATTAGTTTCCTGTGAACTAATTGTATTCTATTTGGTTCAGAATTAAGTTCTGCGTTTAGTTTTGTAAAGATTTGATTGTACATAATGTTTGACATCATAAAATCTAACAAATTTGACTAAAAAAAACTATTTTCAATTAAATCTTCACAAATTTAATCACTGAACTTAATTTTCAATACAATTTATATAAAATCATAATTTTTGATTGACTTTCACGCATTTTTAGCCACTTATGCCGCGATAATACAATTAATATTAGCAGGTATTACATTATTTTTACCATTACTCATTCTATTCAAGATACAAATACATTTGTTTTATAAATACATCAATGACGCGTTCTCGCTTCATTCCTTGATTTACATTTTACGGTATATACAAAACCTGCGATATTCTTGTAATATAATGCTACATATTACAATGTAAAATATTGAATTACTGTGATATATTGTGACACTGATAAAATAAAATGAAGAGCGACACAGTGTATTCATCGATGGCTGTATCGCATTGATTATTATTTCATCAGTCTGTAGTTCTGAGATTTCTAAACTTCTACAACAAATGTAAATCATATTCACACAAACTCTGATACAAAATCGTCAAATTGCATTATTAATTGGATTTACAAATAAGTAAAACTTATCATTTAAATTAATTCATAAATTAAAAGCCAGCAGAAAATATTTACACATTACACCCTTAAGATTTCCAGTGATTTATTGTAACATATCGCAATCCAGTCGGGTTGCGTAGCGCCCCATTGAATCATGTTGACTTCTCCTTCGGCTGCAGTGTAAGCAAGAATCGGATCCTCGATAGCTCTGGGCATTTGTTGAATATCCCAGATTAATGCTTGGTGATCATCACCGGCGGTGCAAATATGACAACTTGAATGTGGCGCCCACGCTATGCCATTCACACACGCACGATGATTGTTCAGTCTTGCGACAGGCGTGCATGGAACTCGCACGTCTAGAATGATTACTTCCAAGGCGTCCATTGCGATTGTAGCGAGGTAATTTGGATCTTGTTTGTTCCACGCAAGACGTAGTAGAGGTGTATGCGCTGGGTCTTCATAGATAATGGTCGAGTGTTCTAAATGCCTTAAATCGAACATACGGACTGAACCGTCTGCGCCCACAGAGGCAAACATATCTCTACCGCCACCAGCGCGTGAAAATGCAATGTCGTACACTTCTTTATCGTGTGCGATTAATTGTGTTTTTACATGACCGGAGACTAGATTTACTCTTCCGATCATCTGGCCGGTTTCTAAACCCCATATTGTGCAGGTTGTATCAATGGATGAGGTGCCTACTAAGTTTGGATCCACTTCATTCCAATCGAAGCTTGTGAGCGGCGCACAGAAGTCGGAGTTTTTGTTGTTGTTAAGGACGCATTCAAGGCGTGTGTCTGGTTCACCTGCTCTCCATACTCTTAGATAATCACCACTTTAAATAAAAACAAACAAGAAATGATTATAAAGTGATTTTGTGGATAAAATTTATTGCATTACCTAGTTGCTAGTAAATCTGGAAATACCCCTTTGCTGTCTGGTATCCACATGATTTTTGTTGTGGGATATGGATGCTCAAAAGTACTCTTTGGTGTGAATTCACTGTTCTCTTCGTCAAGTGAAACAATCTGTACTTTGTTGTTGTATTCCTCTACAAAACTGCCAAGCGCAAGCCGGAAGCGTTTGTCGGGTCGCACTGACCAGTTCATGCTGTACAAAGGCCATGGCGCATTGTACTTGTAGATTTCTTTGCGTTTGCCGCTGGGGACCACACTTGAGTGAGCCATGGCTGCAAATGCTAAAGATAAAATAGTGATAACATTGCATATTATAAGTGAAAGTGATATCCATTTGTTGGCAATAAGTGCACTTAATGATTGGCTGTAATACCCACCGTTTGGTTTACGCTTCGCTTTTGTTTTATTTTATTTATTTGGCAAGTTAAACAAAAATTCTAAACAAATACAACAATCGTCGCAAAGTGATTGACATTTCACTGACATCCGTAACAATACAGTTTAGATTGTGAACTTTGCTAATATTGGTTTTAGTTTAATAACAAGCCGCTAGTGAACATTTTTAAAATTTAGTTCATGTATTGTATTGAATAAATTAGATATTTGTTCAGAAAACTTATTTATTGTGTCAAAAATACAAATAATGGTTTAATTAATTATAAGTCATTATTATTTTATTACTTGTTAATAAAACTGCAAAAGCATTCACTCTATTCAAGAAATTCCCTAGCTACATGTTATTGCGCATGCGCAGTAAAAAATATTCAAAAAGCAACTGACGGTTGCAACCCTGCGTGCTCCTAAGCTTTGCAACTGCGTCGGTTAATACGTCGTGGAGAGCATAAGCATCGGTCGCGTCGCGCTACCGGTTTATTTTCCGTTAAGCTTTTTGGCGGCAACAAGTTGTGTACCTATACGCTGTGAATGTGCTCGGTCATAACCCTTTGTTCATCTGTGCCGTAGTGTTCCATCGTTAAATAAATTCAAGTGTAAAGATGTCTTTTTGTTCTGGTACGTAAAACATTTATTACTTATTCATATTCCAACATCGCACCTAACGAACTTTTGGTGTGATGCGTCGTTTAACCCAAGACACAACTCCAGCGCTTGTCCAATCCGTTGAAGTCAAACCAAGCCAAGTGAAGCTGGACTACACATATTGCACAATATATAAATTTGCGGTTTTATTATAGTGATTGGCTAGAAACAATACAATCCAGGATGACGACTAATTCGAGCAGCAAATGGGGGGTCTTGAAGGTGTTCGCCCGTGTCGGCGACAAATACACAAAGATTCCGTTGAGTTGCTCTAATTTTACGATCGGCTCTGATCCGAAGGCGATTATTAAAGTGTGCCGCGATGATGTCGATCCCATTCATTGCATCGTGCGGATACAAAAAACAATGGGCTTGTAAGTTAACACAACAGAACCCATAGCATAATATTATTATGCATTTTATTATTGTTTATATGCACCATGGTAGATTGTAACCTATTTCCAGAATTCTTATGTTTTCCAGGCTACTCTGTTAACAAAAGCAAGGAGAATCCCAAAATCTAATAATAATGAATCTGTAGCACCTGAGATGTTTCGTATTGCCTCTAATGATATACTTTCTGTAATGGGGAAGAGTAGTTTTAGTATGAAACTTAACTTTGAGCCGCCAGAGGTAAAGTAACATTTTGTTATTCCTGTGTCTAAATGTTGAATTTGATTGATTTAATTTTAATATGTAATTATGCATATCATCAATTTTATGTCTATTAGCATCCAAATATGTTTTTTTTTAATATTTTGCGTGGTTGTTTTGAGCCGTGTCTCTAAAACACAGTCGTAATAAAAATGATGATTCACATATTATGCTTGATCTAAGTTCACGACGATTTATATTTAAATCATTTAAAATTTACAATGTTTATTCTGCTTGGGCCATTTCATAATTGCATTAGTTGTTATTTCTTTAGTTTTAATTATTCACTAGAAAACATAGATGTTTGTCTATATTTATTTGTCTTTACTACGGATATCAACTAATTCACATATTGACTTTGCAATAGTATCTTTATTGCTAATCTTTTTATCACATAGTTTTCCTCAAGTGCCAACACAGTTCTTATTCTGTTTAGCCACTTTTATGCGAATTCTTCAATTGATCAATTTCAAGAATTTTATATATGTAATTGCCATTCATAAGTGAAAAATATTTAAAACTAGAATTTTATTCAAAAATATCAACAAAGTTTGATGATAAAACAGTTTTTTTTTTTCCAAATGCGAATCCACAATTTTCCACCGAACACAAGTTTTAAAACTTAGACATAAAATACATGATGTTATGTTTCAAACACACATTTCAATTTTTAATACATTCCTATAGTAACATTTTATGACACATTATTATATATATTTATTCAGATTATCAGAGAAGCAAAGCTGAAGAATATCGAGCGTTTAAAGAGATTAAAACGAATTACAGTGCTGGAACGTAACTTATTAACACCCCAGTAAGTACATTTTTGTTTACATATTCTGCAATTTTCCTATTTACATAATTAATAATGAATCTGTAGCACCTGAGATGTTTCTATTGCCCAATGATACATTTTCTGTAATGGGGAAGAGGTTTAGGTATGAAAATTCATCTCTTGAGCCAGAGGTAAGAAGTAACATGTTTATTATTCCTGTCTCTAAATGTTAAATTTGATTGATTATATTTTAATATATTATGCATATCATCAATTTTATGTCTATTAGCATCCAAATATGTTTTTTATATTATGCGTGGTCGTTTTGAGCCGTGTTTAAAACTCAGTCGTAATAAAAATGATGATTCACGTATTATGCTTTTGAGCCGTGCCTCTAAAACAAAGTCGTAATAAACAGGATGATTCACATACGAAAATTACAACTGTTATGTTTTTATTATTCATTGCATTAGTTGTTAAAACATAAAATGATGTTTGTATTTCTATGTTTACGGATCTAACTAATTGACGATTTATATATCAAATGATTTTATAACATCGCGTTCATTACTGCCAACATAGTTAAAATTGTGTTTAGCCACTTTTATGCGAATATACCATTTTATATATGTAATTGCCATCATAAAAAAATATTTAAAAAGATTATTCAAAAAATATCAACATGATAAACCAGTTTTTTTCCAAAAATACAATTTTCCACCGAACACAAGTTTTAAACTTAGACATTAATACATTTGTTATGTTTCAAAAACATTTCAACTTTTAATTTATTCCTATAGTAACATTTTATGACACATTTTTATATATATTTATTCAGATTATCCGAGAAGCTAAGCTGAAGAATATCGAGCGTTTAAAGAGATTAAAACGAATTACAGTGCTGGAACGTAACTTATTAACACCCCAGTAAGTACATTTTGTTTACATATTCTGCAATTTTCCTATTTACATAAATGTTATTATACATTAGACCAGAAAAACCGAAAATTTTGAAGGCTCGTCGATCAGCAAGTCTGGATGCCAAGAGGACCCAATCGCCGGAGGATAAAACCCGGAAAGCGTAAGTAAATCGTGTGTGGTGTAGAATGGGCTAGCATTTGGTGTGTTATACATCTTCTAGATTAGCGGATGATGGTTGTAATATCCAATGGTTAAAAACTTCGACACCACAAACTCCGCATCCGACGAAAACTACTAGGTTGCGTTGTGTCGACGGGTATATTTATTATTTTTACTTTGTTTCTGTCGTATTTATTTGATATTTGAGTATCTAGTTGCGAAATTAGTAAGGCTAGAAGTACTATTAGGATTCTATTGTCGTTTTCATCATGTATTTGTGTAAAATGTATTGTTCCGATCGTGGTCGACTTGTTTTACGTCGCTTGTAGACCGTATTATGTTTAATCTTTTTGTTCGAGGCTTAAAAATGTGATTTTAATGCGTAATTTCTCGTCGTGTTTAGATTTACGGTTAGCACGCCGAGAAGTGCAATCCGACCGAGTCTGCGCCACTCTGCAATCTTCAAGAATCTCTCTCAGATGTCCTACGTCGAACCAGAAGGTTGTGAAAGTTCCTCGTCTACCGTTGATCGAGAAGAGGCACTCAAAACGCCTGTGACGGAAATGATTACCAAGGATGATGAAGATCTTTTAACTACGCCGTTAAACAACACTTCAGTGATAACTGTTGATTCACCAATTGAGGAAGATGTGACACCGCTGCGTAGTCGCAAATCCAAAGCAAAGGATATATCTATCCAACGTCTCACTCAGAATGATGAGAGTGTTGTTGTTCTGGACACGCCTGAGTCGAAAACGCCTAAAACTGCACTGAAGACGCCAATGAGCGTTCATAAAACTAATTTGCTTGTTGGATATTCCGCTATTGAAAGTAACGTTGCAAGTGTCATAGATTCATCAGCAGATGAATGCTCAGCGCCAGAAACTGATTCTGAAAGCAATGAGTTGCAACCAAGCAAAAAGTCAAATAGGTCTTTTATTGAGGAGCCTAATTCAAGCGCCGGGAGTCCAATCTCTTCTACTCCGGCAGGTAATAAATCTACGAAGAACTTAGAAGAGTCTTTCAAACAGACTAGCACAGAGGATGTTGATGAAGAATCCAGTTCTGTGTTGGATACGACCACAACTAGTGGGTCTGATTTGGTAATTGGCGGGAAACGCAAGCGACATTCAAATACTTCAACTGAGGAGGCTTCTAGAAAGCGATTGAAAGTCGTTACAGTAAGTTATTAATAACATTTTAATTGTAGTTGTATTTAATTATTTTATTTATTTAGGATACAACTTTGCCTGAAATGAATTCATTCACTTCACAAGATTTGTCAAGCGATAACGATTTAGAAGCTTTAGCAGGAGAAGATTCCGAAATGCTTGCAAGTCCAGCTGTTAATTTGTTGGCAAGAAAAGCAATGACAGAACCCAAACAAACGAAACGTACTATCACAAGGCGTTCGTTATCGGACAGAATTTCTAATCAAGAAAATGAACCAGAGTCGAATAATACCACGTGTGAGACAGTGGATACGTCATCATTTCTCTATGTCAAGAACAACGTTTCTTTTGAAAAAGCTGATTTCGATTCACCAGTGGTCGAGTCTGCAAAGAAATTGCCGAAGGAACCACTCAATGATTTAACTGATGTTGGCGGTGTGAAAAAATTGATGCAAACACCACGAGTATCTAAAGATGCTGTGATCGAAGGCGCAAGTCTTACTGGTGTCAAACGTTTAATGAAGACACCCAAGGTACAGAAAGATACGGATGATGTGAGCATGTCGGGTGTTAAATCATTGATGAAAACTCCAGTATCCAAAAGTACCGTAGTTGAAGAAGAGAATGCTGAGAGTAGTGTTACCAGTGTGTTTAATATGTCTGGCGTGAGTGCGCTGGATCACGATGAGGATGACATCTTCCCGATTATGAAAGTAACACGAACATATGGACGGTCTCTTCCGGCAAAATCCAAGGCTAATTCGAAGATCGCCAGTAGGAAAACTGAGGGATATTTGGTAGATGTTGATCCTGAAGTTGAGAAATGGGTGGAGCATTCGGTTGAACATTTATCCAATGAAAATATCGATAAGGATGTAGAGGATTTAGTGGAAGAGCCTGAAGCTGAAGTTGCTGTTAAGTCTACACGAAAGTCTAAACGTGTGACAATGAACATCCCAGCAGAAAATGAAGACGTGGAAACAATTGACTCTACAGCGACTGTTAAAAGGAAGGGCGGACGTTCTTTACCAGCGAAGACCGCGCCTAAAGCTAACAGAAAGGCACGTAAAACCGAGGGTGTGCTACATGCCGACACTATCACGGTTCAGTGGAAGAAAGAAGATGAAACAAATGAAGAAGATGAACCAGAAACATCGATAACCGATAAAAATAATTCTATTGAAGAAGAAAATGTTGAAGAGTCAACGGTGGAAGATGCTGTTGATGAAGAACCGAAGATAGTCGCAAGGAAAAGTAGTAGAAAGTCAGTGGTTCCATCCGAGGAAAAGGAGGAAGGTGGAAGTGATGAAGACATGCCAGAAGATCCCGATGTTACTTCTGAAAGCAACATTGAAAATGCTCTTAATAACAGCGAAGTGCTTGAACATGATACATCTGTAGAAGAAGTTGTTGTGGAAGTACCTGTGGCTGTTTCCAGGAAGAGCTCAAGGAAATCTTTAGCTGCGGTTCAATCTGAGGACAAGGAGGAACTTTCAAATGATGTTGATATGATTGAAGAACCAATTGTTTCTAGCAGAAAGAGTACAAGGAAAACCCCAAGCAGACTCAGAAAATCCGAAATTGATAATTCTGCGAATGATGTGGTGTCAAGGAAGAGTTCCAGAAAGTCTATGGCAAAAGTTGATTCCAATGAGATGGAAGATGATATTATTTACGAAGAAGTTGAGGAACCTATTGTGACATCTACCAAGAGTTCAAAGAAATCAATACTCGCTCCAGAAGCTATTGAAGATATGACCACAAATGATGCTGAAGAACAAGAGGAGAATTCAGAGAATGAATCTACTCCTGAAGAACTAGCAGTTTCTGCAAGAAAAATTGTGCGGAAAACTCTGAATAAATCTGAAATGTCTGTGAATGAAGTGGTTTCAAGGAAGAGTACTAAAAAGTCCCTGGCTAATGAAGAATTGAATGATGCAGATGATGATATTTTCGAGGTTGAAGACGTTGAACCCGCTGTATCGTCTAGAAAGAGTTCAAGTTCAAGAAAATCTGTCAAGGCTATTGATGCTGCTAACAATGATTCTTCAATTGTTATCGAATCCGATGAAGAGCAAACAGTAGAAGATGTGCCAGAAGTAGAAGAAGTTGTCGTTTCAAGGAAGAGTATGAGGAAAACACTTAACAAGCTTGAAACACCCAAACAAAGTAAATCAAATGATGAAGCTGTAACAAGAAAAAGTTTTAGAAAGTCAATGGCTAAGGTCGTCTCCACTGAGGCTGAGACTGAGGTAAATGATATTAACAATGAAGAAGTGATTGAAGAAGCACCAGCTGAATCTTCTGAAGAGAGTGAGAAAGATTTACCATCAGAACATGATGAATCAATGAATGAAGTTGTTTCAAGGAAAAGTGTTAGAAAATCTGTTGCTAACGCTGAATCTATTGATGTCGATGATGTTGTTGATGAAGAATCATCAACATCCGAAGAACCAGTAGTTTCTTCAAGGAAGAGTGTGAGGAAAACACTTAACAAAATTGAAACACCTAAGCAAAGTAAATCAAATGATGAAGGTGTATCAAGAAAAAGTGTTAGAAAGTCAATGGCTAAGATCGCCTCCGCTGACACTGAGGTAAATGATGATATTAACAGTGAAGAAGTGATTGAAGAGGCACCAATTGATTCTTCTGAAGAGAGTGAAAAAGATTTACCATCTGAACATGATGAATCAACGAATGAAGTTGTTTCAAGGAAAAGTGTTAGAAAATCTATTGCTAACGTTGAATCTATTGATGTAGATGATGTTGTTGCTGATGAGCTATCAACATCCGAAGAACCAATTGTTTCTTCAAGGAAAAGTGTGAGGAAAACACTAAACAAGCCTGATACATCTGTTGCTGTGGTCACTCTCAACGATACAAATGATGATATTTCTGATGACGATTTGATTGATGACTCGGTTGTGTCTTCTGCTGAAAATAAGAGGAAAACTCTCAATAAATCAGTAACATCTCAACAAGATACGTCTTTGAATGAAGTTATTGAATCATCCGAAGATGAAGCAACTCAACATGATGAATTTTTAGATGAGAAGATTGTGGAAGAATCAACTGCTTCAAGGAAAAGTTCTAGGAAGTCATTGGCTAAGGAAGATTCCAATGACCAGGAGGAGGAGGAAACTTCAAATGAAGAAGATATTCCTAAAGAAATTGTCGTTTCAAGGAAAAGTGTGAGGAAAACATTCAACAAAGTTGACTCAACTGAAGAAAATGAAGCCGAACCAAGAAAAAGTATCCGAAAGTCCATGGGTAAAGGAGTAACTATTGAGAATGAAGATGGTGATAGTTCAGTAGTCACAACTGCTTCATCTAGGAAGAGTGTGAGGAAAACAATTAGCAAACCTGAATCTTCAGAACAAGAAGACACTCCACAGGAAGTTCTATCAAGAAAAAGCATCCGTAAATCTTTGGCCAAAACAAATTCACTACCAGCTGATGAATCCAATGACCTACAACCTGAAATCAGTGAATCTGACGATTCTCTTCAAGATCCACCTTCAAGGAAGAGCTCTGCAAGGAAAACACTTACAAATGGTGAATCTGAAAAGACTGGTGAAGTACTTTCTAGAAAGAGCAGTAGGAAATCAACTCAAGAATATGTTACACGTAGGAGCGCAATAAAATCAGCAGAGATTGTTCAAGATTTAAGCATTGAGATATCTGATAATGAAGATGAAGATACAGCAACACCCGATGCCGATGATAATCAGTCTACTGACAAAACAGTTTCGTCATCAAGGAAATCTTTAAAATCAAGAAAATCCGATGTACATGAAATTAAAACTCCCAAAATGGTTGTTGATGCTAACGATGGCGCATCTGCTTCAAAGAGGAAATCGAAGGCAAGCATAGCTGAAGATATTACACCGAAATTAACGAAGAAGGTGAATGCAACGCCAAACATGGAAGATAATGTATTTAAAACGCCGCAGCTGTTACCGAAAACACCAGCCAGATCAGTTAAAAAGTCTGAGAAAAAGGCTAGCATGGTGGAAATGGAATCGAACGAATCTGATACAAATCAAGCTGAATCTGAGGTAGTAGTTAAAAAGTCAAAACGAAATCAAAAGGAACCTAAGAATGATTTAACCAGCCCCAAGGGTTTGAAAAGGTTGCTTGCCACACCCAAAGTAATGAAAGGTCCTAAGAACGATTTGAGCGATCCGAAGGGTGTTAAACAACTGCTAGCTACGCCTAAGGTAACAAAAGAACCTAAGAATGATTTGACCAGTCCAAAAGGTTTGAAAAAATTGCTTAAGACACCAAAACAACAGAAGCAACCTAAAAACGATTTGTCTAATCCCCAAGGATTGAAACAGTTGTGGGCAACGCCTAAAATTACCAAGGGTCCTAAAAATGATCTCTCTAATGTGGAGGGAGTTGCTGAATTAATGGCTTCTCCTGAAGAAACCAAGCCTACACGCAAATCAAAACGTGATGTAGAAAATGATGAGGATATTGAAGAACAAGTTCAATCATCAAAGAAGGGTAGATCTACACGAACAACCAGAAAGAAGGTTGCTGAAGTTGATACACCTGCTACTGCAACAGCAGATGAAGAAGTTTCCGCGAAAAAGAGCAAGCGTAGTCGCAGAAATGCTAAATCTGAAGATGTTGCACCAGTGGAAGAAGTGGAAGAAACTCCAAAACAGAGCACACGAACGAGAAGGGGAGCTAAAAATACTTCTGAAGCCAAGAAAACAACTAGCACTCGAAAACGTCGGGCGGAATCTACCTCTGAAACTGAATCTGTTGCAGACCCTGAGCCTGAACAGGAAGTAGTGACAGAAATCAAGTCTACTACTCGTGGTCGTCGGGGTAAGGCTGCTCAGAAGGAAGTTGCCGAGACGGACACTGAACCGGAACCTGCTAAGAAAGTAAAAGCTACTACCAGAAGCCGTAGAGGTAAGGCAGTTGAAAAGGAAGTTGTGGAAAGTGAAAATGAATCTGAAACTGTAGAGGAATCTGAACCTGTTAAAGCAGTTCCTGTTAGTGCAAAGGGTCGTAAGGGTAAAGGAAAAGCATCGAAAGATGACGAAACTAAAGATGAATCTGTTGATGAACCGGAGCCTGTTAAAGAAGTGAAAACTACAAGAAGTAAAAGAGGTCAGAAAACATCACCATCCATTGAGGAAACCAAAAACGAATCTGATGACGATGGGCCGGAGCCCGTTAAAAAGGTAAAAACTACTACTAGAAGTAAAAGGGGACAGAAAACATCACCATCCATTGAGGAAACCAAAAACGAATCTGATGCAGATGAGCCGGAACCCGCCAAAGAAGTGAAAGCAACTACCAGAACTAGAAGGGGTCAGAAAACTACAACATCCGTAGATGAATCAGTTGAGGAGGTCAAAGCAACTAGCAGAAGTCGTCGGGGAAAAGCAGCCAACAAAAAAGAAGAATCTACAGAAGAAGTAGAAGCAGTGTCTGAAAATGAACCAGAGATCGAGGTTAAAACAACCAGTCGACGTGGCCGTAAAGTTACTGCTAAAAAAGATGTAGATGAAGAAGAAGAATCTACACCTGCAAAGGTTGTTAAAAAAGCAACGAAAAGTCAAAAGAAAAGTAAGGAAGCAGAAGCTGATACCTCAGCGGAAGTACAAGAGAAACCTGTGCGGGGCAGCCGGACTCGCAAAGCAACCGAAACAAAAGAAGATGACGAGTCATCAGTTGTCCCTGAAGAATCTGCAAAGAAAACAAAAGCACCTCGACGTGGAAAACAGAAAATCCCAGACGTAGTAATAGAAGCAGCCACACCGGTCAAACGTCGTCGTGGAGCGAAGACAGAAACCACTGAAGAAACATCACCCCAAGTTGAAGAAGAACCCACTAAGAAATCATCAACAAAACGAACATCTCCCGCTGAAACAAAAGCAGCAACACCTGTGAAACGTAGCAAACGAGGCAAAGTTGAATCTACACCAACTTCAGGAGAGGAAGAAGTTGTACAAATTAAAACCAGACAAGTGAAGGGTGTCAAAACTACCACTGTTAAGGTGAGCAAGAAGGTAGGGTTTGCTGCTGATAGTAAAACTATGACACTGACCCCCGAACCACGATATTCTAAGCGCAGACTTAGATCCGAAGACGAACTGAACACTTCTGATTCAATTCCAATGAAGAAGGCGCGAGCTCGCAACTAAACCTATCGATTATACCTACATTTTAATTTTAAATTCACCTTGTTTTAAGTGTGTTTATTGCCGTAAAGGTCTAGAGTTTTTAATAAGATGATTATTTTATTCTACTTAACTACGTACAAACAAAACCGAACTAATGGAATAGAAAATAATTTCGGAAGAGAAAGTTACACATTTTAACATGTTTATTACAAGTCTGTGTATTTTTCGATTCTACATATATTTTAGCATTGTTAGCGAACATTTAAATAAATAAAACAAGTAAATCATCATTTTTTGCGTATAATATTGTTATCAATTATAAACTTGTTCGTACACATTCTTTGTATATAAGCATTACAGATTTCTGTATAGTACTACGTGCGCCATCTGTTGGTGGTAATTGAAGTAAATTTCCAACCAGCACTCGCGTTGCAAACCGACGATTCCTCTGACAGTTCGCGTAGTGAACGCAATGGTGGACACAACAGATGAGTTCTATTGATCAGTCAGTGTGTAGTGCCGTGTCGGAAAAATGTGAGAGTTTGTTTAAATAAATCAAAATGTGGATTCCAACGAAAACGCGCAAATACGGCGTTGGTACGTACTCGTAACTATTATCTATATCTTACTCTATATTTATTTATTTACTGCAACTTCAAGATATCGTCATAGTTAAACAAAATCCCAATGCATATGTGTAAATCGCTTGGCGTTTGTTTATGATCGTTAAAACAAATGTAATTAATTCTAATTGCGGTGAGACGAACGAATCAGCTGGCGGCGGTTTAGTTATGTAAAGTGCTAATTTTCTAAGCGCAATGCAACGCGACTAGGATTCCGAGTGATTAAGTGCCATGTTTCATTTGATTATTAATTAAACATAATGAGCAAGTGCGAAATAAATAAAATAATCTAGTGTGTGAATCAATTGCCGCCTAGAAATCGATTAGAAAAGCTTATCTTGTTAGTGAATTGCATTTTTGTTTTCTGCATTTACTGTAATTACATCTGTTGACCTCCCCTCGATAAGGGTAACGTGCATTTAATATATTTATGTTTATTGGCGTGTTTTTCGGCGATTAATGCGATGAAATCACTTTCGGTTTTGTTTTACTCGCGAACCGGAATGTTTTCAAGGCAATTATGGCGTTAATTCGTTCTGATTACTTGATAACCGCTCTTGATTTCCTCGCTTTGCGCCGCCGCCGGGCACAACTGATGATTGTCGCAGACGCACAACTTCCGGTTCAGAGAGCCCGACGAATCCTTTGCGCTCGTCGTCTTCGGGCTCTCATTCATGAATATTCGTGAACCCCTTCGCAATGTGTGTGCATTCACATTTACATAACCGTAGGTAGCTTTTTCGAAAACATTATTTCCTGTCTTGTATTCGTCCGGAATTTATTATTAGATATTTTATTGTGCGCGCCGGGAAGGTCGTAGGTTTGCAGATATACGAGCAGGTTTTTGAAGTTAAGAACACATGGGAATTGGTTGCTTAAAATATAAACGTAAACAATTTTCCTGGTAGATTCATCATCTGTCTAAGATTTGTAATTGTTGAGAGATGATTTTGTAACCGTACATTTTTCGAATATCAAATGTTTCGCTTTGTAAGGCGTGTGAAATGTAGAGATTTATTTAATAAAACTATAAAACATGTTATTTTGGTGATGCTTCCCAAGGTTAAGTTCATATTCATAAATTCGCACACGTTTTGAATCTATTATTAAACTCTTCCGACTATAATTTCACCAGTCGCAGCATTGCTGTAAACAGGGACATAAACGAAGTTGTACGAATGTGCCAGGGTTTAAATTACTTGGATTGTTTGTGAATGAAAGGAAGTAAAAGTACGGTGCGATATAATCGTTCGCATCAAGTTTCATGTTCTTCGGATTTATGACAAATTCGCCTTTCGCTCGTGCATGCAAGGCGCGGAATTCAACTCGACACGTAATGTGTTTACGGCCGGAAAATTGCATTCGCCCGGAGCGAAATTATCGCCGCATTCAAATCGAAATGCATACTCGCAAGTATCGAGCGGAATTTTATAATTAAATTTCAAATCATGAAATAATTTAATCGGTAGGCACGATGAGTGAGTGAAAATTAATATTTTCATGAATTTAGTTATAGTTTATTTTAAGTTAATACTAATCAATAAAATATTGATTTTAATTAAAAGTAGTTTAATTAAGTACTTGATTGTTTGTTGAACTTATTATGTGCTCCCGTATTAAGATTATTAATTTTATTATAAAGAAATGGCATTATGCAGGTGTAGTATTAGATTATTTACGTTAGAAATGAAAGATATTGTATTTTTGTAGTATTAAATTGCTTTAAAACGCAAACAGAAGCATAAAATTCGGTGTGTTTTACAAAAATTTAGATCAAATCGTAATAATGCACTTTAGCGTCATCTAGATTGGATTTATATAACTATAATTGTGATTGATGCTTCATATCATCTTTCACCCCTTATTTTACACTCTTTTAGTTATATGTTTGCAACAAAAAGTAGTCTATTTGTTATTCCTAGGTCCAAAATGTCTGTATACCAAAATTTATCAAAATTGATTGAATTGTTCTCCGGTGAAAGCGTCACAAACAAACAAAAATCTCTCATTTACGTTTTAATATTATTTTGGCTAGTTTACGATTTGAACATGACAAAAAAAAATAGCAAAAACAATTTTTATGCGTATTACTAATCTTTATCAAATAAATTCATGGAATGGGACATTGCAGGCGATTGATACACCTCCCTTGATCTCGAACGAAACCATCTTCGCAATAACACCCTGGTCGACAGTTTCTTGTACATTTCACTAGCTCCTGTTGACATGAACCATCGCAGTACCCACATTGTTTGTATACTTCATTCTCTCGACACAATTCTATAACAAGTAATTCTGCTAATAATGAACATTTTCAACTAAATTACGCATGTATAAAATTTTACTGGTGCATTTTGCGATTTCAACGCATTGATTAGTACTCTGGTCCAATACGTATGGCTCTTTGCAATAACACCCCTGTTGGCAGTCGAATGTACAAATAGTTGGATTTGGATTTGCGCATGTTTTTACACAACTCGATGATTGGCATTTTCTGTATTCTTGCAGAGGATCTCTACATTCTAAATATAAAAAACTGTTATGTTTATAAAAAAATTCTTTTAAAGACATTGTTTGATAATGCGTACCTTTTGCTGATGCGGCCCATGCGGTGACAAACAATGCCGAAACAAGGAAGAATACAAGTCGATTACGATTGCACATGTTTCTTTTGTCTGGCCACAGGTATGCCTCGGTTACAAAAGGTTGAAGCGTACTGATTAACGTACTTTTCAAGAGCACATTTTATACGATTCCAGTGCGCATTGTTAATCAGCGTCGACGTGTTCAACAAAGAACGATTAAAATTAAATGCAATTAAAACGAAAAGCATTATCATTATTATATGCTGTGAAAATTCCCCTTCGGAAAGCACACACCGAGCGTTTGGTACAGATTTTATTTATGCGCACTTTATCGAAACGTGGACATGAAGTCGTGAGCGGCTATTTTTACTATCGGAGGATATGACTAAAGCACATATTAACAATAGATATTTTAAAGATAGTTTAAATCAATTAGATTTCCCGTTTTACATTGTGTGATATTTTTTGTATTTACTTTGGAAATGATGTCGAATGATTCATTAATTAAGTGTTTGTCACTTACAGCTATTTATAATTGGCGCGGGGATTCACGATGCGGCCTACCGCTGGAGATCGGCGAGACGGTGCAGATCCTCGAGGAATGCACCGGCTGGTATCGCGGGTTCACCACGAAGAACCGCTCCATGAAGGGTATCTTCCCGCAGGCGTATATTCATCTCAAGCCGTGCAAGGTAGATAACGAAGGACTCTTTGAGAGTGTTGTTCCGCTCGAAGATCCTGTTGTCAGGGAAGTTACGCTTGTGTTGCGGGAATGGAACGAGATCTGGAAGAGGCTCTTTGTGGTAAGTGTGATTTATTATCGTCTAGGGATTATTTATTGAATTTTTTGATTTACTATGCTTTGCGGAGATGACAATAGTTTATTTTTTGTGTTTCTTTTTTAGGAGCGAGAGACGTACAAATTCGATACGGTTGGCAAAGTCATGCGCGACTTGTTGGAGTGGCGGCGGCAGCTTGTCTCCGGCACGTTGACCCAGGACCAAACCAAAGAGCTCAAGTTGAAGATTATTGCCAAAATCGATTGGGGAAATCGGTGAGTACGCATTGTCTGTCGCTATGTCTTCCTCTCACAACGGATTTTCACTCTGTATTCGTAATACGGAATTTTTTTCGCTCAGAAATTATTCATTGGATCTAAAAATGGTCTAACATATTATTTAATCGCGTAATATTTTCAAAAAACCATTGTGGTGTTTCGTATGATATTAATTATTGTATGAATATTCTACACCACAATAATACTTCCTTCCTCAGCTGAATTTTCCTTTACTTTGTTGATATTTTCCATTATCTGGTGGTAAATAATTTAAAACCTGATACTTTTATGATTTTTAATTTATTGTCGGCATTTAAGGCACTAAAACGCTTAAATATTCATAAAAATAGTCGTACAGTCTTAAGTTAGTAGATGAACGAAAAAAAAAACATTAAAATTACAAGCAAAACATCTCTCAATTACTAAAAAAATAATAGATTGTAAAACGCTGACGAAATATCAGTATGCATAGCAGCCGTATGCACGTGTTGCCAGCTTCCGGTGTGTGTATGTGTGTTTCCGCCTAAACCTAAACGCTATAATAATCACAATAATTCTTACCTACTACGCGTACGTGTTTTGCTTCATCTTGACCTACGTAAAACTCGTTAAAAAAACCTAATTTCGATTTAAATAGTGAAAGGCGAGAGATCTAATAATACTATGGCGCTCAGAATGTCTCTTGTCCTCGTGTCTTCTGTTCGGATGTCAAATCGCGCAGTTCTCAATGGTGTAGTTCTTACGTCTCGGTCTCCTTGCCGAACTTTTCAATCTCCGGATAAATGGGACTCATTTCGAGCGTGCTCGGCGCCGATGGGAGATTGCTGTTGCTGCCGTAGTTGAGGCGTCTGACCAGCTCGTCGAGTATCTCACCAAACACCATGAGATTCATATTCTGACCGAGTAGATGCAGCAGTAGGAAGTCACCGACTTGTGTTTTGCGAATGATAGCGTCTACGCCCTGCGGCGTGCCGAAACGGAAGCGCCTTCGTAAGATAGTCTCACGTGTAGTTGGCAATAACACAACAGCAGTGGAATAAACCAGTGCTAATCCAGAGAGAACTGCAAGAATGATGAACCAGAACCAGAGGAAGATGTAGATCTTCTCGTTGAGGATGTTCAACGCTAGGACACACATAGCATCGTGTTCCTGAATGGAACCGGAAGCTCCGTATTTGTGGAAGGAGCACTTGGTGATACGCGGAAAGACCTTAATCATCGGATCCGTACGGTTTTCTTGATTCATATTCGAGAAGTTGATCACTTCAGAGCCGTAGGTTAAGAATGTGCCGCCGAGGAATTTGTCTGTCATGAATATGTTGACCATCTGGAATGGATTAAATTCAGTTTACGGTTTCTTCAGTTCATTCAGAGTTGAATTTTAAACACTTACCACATTGATGAAGTTCAAGCCTTCGCAGAGGAAGTATCCGAATGCATATGTGTTGTGTAAGTGCAAACTCTCAATGACATATTGTACTAAACGACTAACACGATGAGCGCGATCATCTTTATTGCCAACGAGTGCTCCACGCATACCATCGGAAATCATGCGGATTTTGCCTTCTTCCCAAGTTTTCCAGATCCAATGTGGCAGATAAAATAGAATTCCCTGTAAAATAAAAACAGAAAATCATTATTTTCACTTTAATTATTATAATATTAAAGTATTTACCTGTGCGAATAATACGAATGGCACCCACTGATAATAACTGTGATAACTCTTCTCCTGATGCTCATTCCCGAGACCCGGAAACGCCACGTGCGTCCCCACCGGCTTGTGCAGCTCGTTCGGTAGCGTAAACGTGTACGTTATCCAACAGTACGTGTTTATCACGTGTATCGGTACGCCGCCGTCATTAATGCATTGAATCGGCTCGCCTGCAACGAGCAACAAATTTACAAATTAACAAAACCACACCAAACACACATACACACACATATATATATAGGTATTGTGCGGTTTTGCGCTGGGGCGCGTTTATTTACCGATTAAATTGTTGGCGGTCACGATGATGCAGCAGCTGAACAAGATGGCCGACGTGATTCGGTAATGGGCCCTGAACACCATATTGTCTATCACGGCTTTGTCGACTAGGTAGCGGACTTTGACGAAGCCCGCCACCGCTGAGACCATTCCAAAGACGGACATTGTGATTGATTAATGCTGAAACAAAAGGAAATATTCGTTAAAAAACGTACATTGTTAGCGCAATCTCGCCGTTTATATATTTACTGATATGCATAATCAGCGCTATTAAACTGGTAGGTGTGCTAGATTCAATTGTTTTTATTATATCGTAAATCATGACTATATTTAAAACTTTAGAACTTTGAAAGTTTTCGAATTGTAAAACTAAGCATTGCTGTGGTTTTCGTTTTGAATTTCACGCCGGTGTCTCCGACGTGTTAATCTGCAAATAAAATTGAAACCTGTTTTCACAATGGTGCATTTACTTTAAGTACTTTATGCAGTTTTGCGCGCGGCGCATACGTTCGCGAGTTTACGCCATGTCGCCGCTTTTCTTGCAATCTCGCATTTCTAGCATTGCGAACACGCGATGAATACGCATATTGCGGGCAAGAACACTTTGGATTGTGTCGCTATGTTATGCAACAATGATAGTTGGGCACGTCCGGTGTGTATGCATCCAATGAATTTTTAGCAAAGTCAAATTCTTCGTGCTTTACAGAGAGATTGTTATGCGCATTTATTTTATACTGAATATTATTGCATTCTATGACCTTCATAACGCACGTAATAGCGTTTAGCGTAAACTGACATAAAAATTCCGATATAATTAATGATTTGCAAAGAATAACATTGAGCGTGCGTCTAATACAGATTTGGGAATGTTTTTTTTTTTTCGCTGTGATCATGAGTCACTTGGATTCTCAAGTAAAGTAAAGTAGACTCACGGACAATGAAATTCCACGGTGGTGAAACATGCAAACACGCTTGCGCAGGAGTGCCTGACTGGCAGGTAGCCTACGATTAAGTTATAACTCTTTTTTTTTTTGTTTTGCTTTAAAACTTTGCATTTTACTGCAACTTATATGCATATTTTGTGTTTCGCTCCAAGAAGCTTTACCTGAATGAGATCTTATCGTGAGGATTAATTTACTGAGCGCTGCCACTCTCAAGCTGTGTAAATAAACCAAAAAAACTCTCACATTCTCATGTGTGGACTTGACACACACATGTTACTAATTAAAGTTTGTTAGTTTTATGTATTTAATGTGGCTCTCAATGTTTGCGTCTTGATTTATATGCCAAGTCGTAATTATTATCACCCAAAGTGTGATAACTTGAAAAACAGCACGAGATCGTATTAAAATTAAAACTTGCTCCAGTTCTGAGGTCACCAGTGGTGATTAGAGCAAGCAATGCGCACTGTGTGATTGCTACAATTGCTTTAAATTGAACCTAAACAGCAGGCCAGCAGCAGGGTCACATCGTCGTGACCATTCGAAACGCATTAATTACACGCGTTTTTGTTTTTCGCTTGTTAGACAAATCGAGGAATTTGTGTCAACGACACATAACTTTCTTCCATGTTGATCGATCTCATTGTTAGCTTCTACTGTGTAGCTTAACTGTATCTGTTCTGTGTGCGTTCGGTGAGCGTGCTTAAGTTAAGTTGAGTGTACTTAACCGAAGCCACACAGTCGAGTTCTAAGTAAGCGGCTTGCCAGTAGAAAACGAGTATATTTACCTTTGTCCCTTTGTCCTAACGAATGTTTCAAACTTTAGAATAATCCCAAAGTGGTCGTCGCTTGATGAATTATCACAGATATTGCACGCACGCGCAACACACTCGTGTCACGAATAGATATGAGATGATGGTAGAAATGATTTGTACTCTCCGGAGCGCTCCGATGGCGTTTAAAACATTTTTGTCATACGACCGACGTCGCTGTCGCCGACACACTAGCGGAGCGGATAGCACACATTCTCCACACTCCACACTGCTGGGAGTCTATTTAGTGGGGGCCCATGCTGGCTGCTTCTTTGTTTAACACGCGCGGAGCGGCAACCGCGCGCCTCGTCGGCCATACCGACCACCATGTTGTAAATCTTGTTCTTGTGAATAGGAATAAAGCCAGACGGTGCCAAGAATATGATGGAGAAGAGGTACCCCGAGGTACCCCATATTAGCATGTGGCTATAACCAAATTGGGCGACGCAATCGTCAAACTTTCTTCCGATCACGACGTCCCGGGCGTTCAAATCACTCAGAAATTAGTTTCATGATTTTTGGATTAGACGCAGGCGCAAATCAGCGCTACTGGTTTTTCAGGTAGTAATTTCAACCCCAAAAAGGTTGAAAATTACTACGAACGCACCCTTTGTGATAAATACGTTTTTAGCAGAGTTTATTTTGCTATAATTGCTATTCGAATTGAACGGAGTTCCCCCGGATTGCCGGGACTGCCGGCTGGCTGCTAAAGACAAGTAGTAGTATAATCGTGGAATGTTCGCAAGTGGGTCCAGGTTCTGCTCCTCGCGGATGCGCCACTCACCTGTAAAGCGTATGGTAACAACCGGTCTGCATACCTAAAGAAGTACAGTCGATTTCATAAGCCTCGAGAAGAGCTCGTGCAGCGGCTCATGGGCCGACATGAGAAACAAGCGCGCCGCGACACACACAGGACCGGTCTTACCATCGCGGGCATCGCGGGGCCTTTCTTGTCTTGTCAGCGCTCGCTCAGCGCACGGAGAATGCGTTTTTCCCAGGTCCCACACCAGCCGCACTCGGCTACCTGTGATGGAGAATCGAAACGCATGCGAGTTTAAATGTCAATAACTGCTCTTTGTTACCTTCGGCGAGTTGAAATCCCTAGCGTAGAGTTTTACGGTAATGCCGAAGCAATTAAAGCCTCGCGGCTCCATTGCATTTGTAAGCGCGTGGAGAAGAAAAATCACGCTCAAGGAAAATGCGCCTTTCACATGCGCCGAACAAGTAGAACACAGTGCTATCATTATTACTATCATTCGATGTATCCGTCCGGCTGCGACTACCGGTTACACAGAAGGTCTATGATTGATGTTCTCGCGAAGAAGTGGATTCCTCTTATATGAGTCAAGCTCGCGTAAGCTGGGGAGTGCGAACGCGTGTAAGAGGGGGAGTCGCAGGTAGTGTGCCGGCCGAGACGCAAGAAATAAATCCAAAACGAGCGCGCGTGAGAAAAATCTCGCGGCGCGCAGCAATTAAAAGGATGAATATACACATATGGCGCGGCGTGCGGTGGCACGCGGTGGTCATTATTGGATTACCGATGGCGATCATATGGTTCGAATGTTCGGCGGCGTCTGCGTCGATTTGCTTGAATTTTTGCGGCAATTCGTCGCCGAGGCATGATGGCGGTTCGTTGAACTCGCAGAAGGCTAACGTATTCATTACGTTTTACACCGTGTCAACTGCATATTTTATTAGGATGGGCCCGTGACCTCTCTCGCGGGCGCTGCGCGCGTTGGCTGAAGAAACCAACCGTACGACTTCAGAATGCGCTATTTGCTCCTACGTAATGCACTACTGCTGCGTGTGAATATTTTTTTCTCTTGGCGCGAGGCGCGTCGCGCTTATTGAAAGACGTTTGCTACGGCGCTGGCCGCTTTTGAGTTTAATTAGATTCCACGAGTTGGAAATGCACCTTAGTTATTACCTGGCCTAAGAACAACGCAAGGCTGTCGAGTGTAGTTTATGACTGCGCTGATGATTGCAAATCTCGGCTGACTTATGCTTTATCTTTACTAAGTTTTATGTTTGCCAGATGAATGTACTCGTATTAATTTTATGGTAGAAATTATAAAATAAAATGGAAATTCCTATGAGTAATCTGACACAGTTGAAGTTATTTCCGGTAAATTTTTTATTGCTTAAAATTTTGTCTTGTGGTCAGTGACAAGCCCATTTTAAGACATGCCAGTTACATTATTGGTTTATACTGGACAGTATTAAGTTTTTCTTTATATTTTCTCTCTTTTTTTGCTTTTTTTATGTTACCTCAATCAATCTAATCTCTTATCACCCCAAACACATTAATATTTTGTATATTTAATAAAAGTTACAAAAGTAAAGCATGCCACACATTTTTAATGTTATAGAAAACTTGGCTTGGACCTGGTTCCTCGCCAAGGAGCGCAAATGGTCGATCCTGATACGATGTCAGTCGTGGAACTCCACCAGGTGCACGTCCTTAGCGCTGAAAACTCCAAAGGCGCATCTGTACGTACTTTATATATTATCTCACTAAACCTTTTATTGAATAAATTTGAATTAGGCACGTGGCACGATAAAACGCAAAGAAGCAAAGAAGATTCTAACTCATCATTTGTACTTCTGCATGCGTGATTTCGGTCACCACATCGGTGAAGACACCGAGATATACTTCTCGCTCTTCGATGATAAGAAGCATCGCTACATCTCCGAAAGGTTCCTAGTCAAGATATCCAAAGAGGGCTTCTCGAACTACATCGAGAAACTGCACAGCAACTGCACCATCTTTACCGACCTGGGCAACGCTGACCTCAACAAGGATATCTACATTGTTGCGCACGTGATGCGAATCGGTAAGATGCTCTATTCGGAGAGTTCGCGCAAAGCCGAGAAGAACCCGACCGCCACCATGCAGGTCTTCAAGCGACCACATGGTGTTGCCGTCCAAAACCTAAGTGATCTGCTGATGCACAAGGAGGGTGAGTCTGATGAACGGGAGTTTACGCTGAAAGTATTCCAGTGTGAGGAGAAGGACTTCCATCAGCTACATGAGAATCTCATCAAGCAGCTTGGTAAATACAGCCCGCTATCCTGTCAACCAAATTACGGGATTATCATCTCTCTGAAGATGCTACACGGGCAACTATCTCAAATCAAGGAGGACAGTCCTTTATTATTCAAGAATATCTCACTAACTAATAAATTGGGTTTTGCTGATGTTATTATGCCTGGTGATGTTAGAAACGATCTGTATTTGATTCTGGAAAAGGGCGAATTTGAACGCGGAGGGAAATCAACCGGTAAAAATATTGAAGTGACGATTATTGTCTTGGATAGCGAGAAGAATGTAATCAAACATTGTCTCTGGGGTGCTTCCGGATGTGAGGGTCAATCGGAATATGTGTCTATGATCATCTATCACCACAATTCACCCGCCTGGGCCGAGAATGTGCGACTCACGCTGCCGATTGACAAGTTTGCAGGCGCGCACGTACGCCTTGAATACCGACATTGCTCCACGCGTGAAAAGAATGACAAGAAACTCTTTGGATTTTCGTTCGTGCGGTTAATGGACAAGGACGGTGCCGCCGTGCATGACGCCAATCACGAACTCTTTATTTACAAGTGCGAGGATGCCGCCAAACTGGAAAACTGTGGATATCTTATGTTGCAAGGTCACGGGAAAGATCTGGAGGGCAATCAAGAGTCAGGAGCGTTCAGCCGTAGCCATAAAGAAGTGGTTATTGTTAAAACTCTTCTATGTTCTACCAAACTCACGCAAAATACCGATTTGCTTTCACTTTTACGCTGGAAATCGCACCCGGAGAAGATCCAGGACTCTCTGCAGAAAGTTTTACGTTTAGGTGACGAAGAACTGGTCAAATTCTTGCAGGATGTATTGGATGCACTGTTTGCATTGTTCTCTACTGAGGAAGGCAATTCTACCAACCACAGCGGGCTTGTCTTCCACGTGTTGGTCTCCATATTCAGTCTGCTTGATGAGTCAAAGTTTCAGTATTTTAAACCAGTATTGGATGCTTATATTAAGGACCATTTTGCCGCCGCGTTAGTTTACAAGTAAGTGGTAGCCATTTTTTAAAGCTTGAAATGCTTCATTGTTTATTTTCCAGGGGACTATTGACGAGCGTACAGCATTGTGCTGACTGGGTGTTGTCATTTGAGAAACAACAACCGATTTTGAAGTGTTTCAAGAGCTTGGAGTCTATCTTCAAACTGATCATACAAAGTCGGTTGTTGTTTTCGCGCGCTAGTTGTGGTCAACTCGAAGACAGTTTTCGTCGGGACTTGAATTTGGTGTTTATTTCACTGAATACTATGCTGGGACTGACACAGACAGCTATAATCAATTCACAGATTGAGTTGCTGATGAATATTGGAGTTGTGTTTGAGCAATTGGTGGACATTTTGCCTATTTTGGAGGTAACCAAATTGGCGAATACCATGTTAGACGCTCCGAGGGATGGCGAAGCTCAACTTACGAAAGCGAAGTTGTTTTTCATGAAAACTTTGATGCAGGGAAAACTATTTCATGATGACGGTACGTTGAATGAGTATATCAATTGATTTAGATTTATTAACTTTACTTCCCCAACAGAATCACGTAATGTGCTCCTGACGCATGTGTGTAAACATTTGCGGAATCATTTAATCCGTCGAGAAGAACTGCGACTATGTTCCGATATCTTAGCGGAGATACTCGGCTTCCTGTTCAAACAACGCAAACAGGCCGAGGAGCTGGGCAAGATCAACAACTGCATACACCACGATGTTGATACTCTTTGCATTAGTACATTTGACGTGATCATTAACACTGTGCTGGTGATAATTGACAAAGAAACAGCAGTAATTGTAAGTTGCAACCTAAATAACGTTCTTTTACATGTGTTATATATTTGTTTATTTTATTATGTATCCAGGGGGGAATTGTAGCGGGTCTAGTCGGGTTGCTGCAGCTGCTGGACGAATTCCATTACAAGCGGCTGTGGGAGACCATAATGGGACCAACACACGACCGCAAGCCTCTCAAAGACTTCCTCATGCGCGTCTTCCTCGTCTTTCGCAATCTAGTCAAGCAGCAAGTCTTCCCGCCCGACTGGCTGATTATCCGCATGGTGACCAACAATGTCATATTAAAGTCGCTGCAGGAACTCGCACAGCCGCTCGCTTTCAAATTCCTCGACACGCGCGGCGGTTACTTTGACAAAGAACTGTGGACGAGTTATTTTAATCTTGCCGTGGATTATCTCACGCAATCCTCGTTGCAACTAGAGCAGTTTTCCGAAGTAAAGCGGGAAAAGATTATTGAAAAGTACGGAGACATGCGGGTATTGATGGGCTTCCAGATTTTGTCCATGTGGTCACAGCTAGGCGAGCATAAACTCCATTTCATTCCGTCGATGGTAGGTCCGTTCCTCGAGGTGACACTCGTGCCTGAAATCGAGTTACGCAAAGCGACGCTGCACATCTTCTTCGATATGATGGAATGCGAGCAGAAGTCACGCGGTAACTTTAGGCAGGTCGAGAGCGAGCTCATCGACAAGTTGGATATTTTGATATCCGAAAACAAGGGCGACGATGAGTACCGCCAACTGTTTAATACTATGTAAGTGTTTTGAAGGCTCTCAAATCGGTTCTATTAAACTAACAAACTTCTTTCTACACATCACTTTCATGCTCTCATGATTAGGGAACATCTGAGCGCCGTGTAAGTAAAACACTTGAACAATCATTAACAAGTTGTAACTGTCTCTCTAGCAATGCATTTCATTTAAAGCACACGTTTTCCCTTTTGATAATCCTGTTTTATGTTTTAAATGTATGTTATTGATGTTATCCTCGATTATAGGTTGTTAGATCGTGTGCAAGCTGAAGATCCCACATGGAAGGACAGTGGTGCAGCTTTCATCAGTTCGGTGACACGACTTCTTGAGCGTCTCCTTGATTACCGCAGTGTTATTCAGGGCGATGAGAATCGTGATAAACGCATGTCTTGCACGTTTAATCTACTGAACTTCTATAAGAATGAATTCAATCGCAAGGAGATGTATCTACGTTATATTTACAAACTACACGACCTTCATCTATCCGCAGAGAATTACACAGAAGCGGGTTTCACGATGAAGCTTTATGCGGATCAATTAAGCTGGACAAACCAATTAATCATGTCTGATCCGCAATATAGCGGGTACACTGAGTGCAAAGTCAAGGAACAATTGTACCGCCAGATCATCAACCATTTTGATCGTGGGAAGGTTTGTAGCGCATAATTTCAACTTGAAGCACTATGTAATTATTTGTTTAATTATTATATAGTGTTGGGAAAAGGGAATACCTCTATTGAAGGAGCTCGCACAACTGTACGAAAATCAAATGTTTAATTATCGAGCGCTCAGTGACATTCTCAAGTTGGAGGCGAAGTTTTTTGATAACATTTTACAACAACTCCGTCCAGAGCCGGAATACTTTCGGGTCGGCTTTTATGGCTCCAGATGATCTGCCAGTTATTAACTCAGATGGACAATGTAAGTTAAATACAAAATATGCTAATACCTTGACGTGCAATATTGATTTATTGATTTTGTATTTAGTTATACAAATTAGCAATGTAAAACCAACCCAGAAGCGAATCCGATTACGCTTGCAAACGATATACCCGGAAGAGATTGCAAAGTTCTATCATTACAACGATGTCAGAAGATTTCTAATGTGATCGTCCTGTACACAAAGGCATTGTTGACAAAGAAAAACGAGATTAAGGTAAAGATATAATCTTCTTAAAACGACTTACCCATTGTTTTGTTATTCGCAGACATTGTGGATTGAAAGAACAATTCTGAAATAGAATGTCCGTTACCGGGGCATTTTACGTTGGTTTGTTGGTAGATAGAAAAAAAACCGAAGAGATCACCTAAATACGCTTGTGAGACTATGGCATGTGAGAAAGAATTAAGACTACTCATTACAATATACAACGCAGATCATCGAAGAAATCTCAATCCTTTCACGATGCGTTTACAGGGCATCATCGACGCTAATGTTCAAGGCGGCATTAGTAAGTATCAACAAGCATTCTTCACCAGGAGTTTGCAAAAGAACCGGAACATTCCACTACGTGTATACCTTGAAGATGATCCATGAAACGGGTGATAGAAGATGGTTTATCACCCATGGATAATTGCGCCGTCCGCGTACAACCGTTTTGATCAACGTTTAGTAAAACAGTTTTGCACACCAGACAAAGTTTGGGCATTGGTGTTTCTCAAACGTCAACAATCTGAAAGTATTGTCGCGAAGTGTTGTTGTTGCTGGCTGCGCATTGCTGGCCGTTTACTCTAATCCGTTTTGTTTTCCTTCGATGTGCGCTACCGCCCCTTCCGACTTCGACAAGCAAATAGCAGATAACAGGCAACGTCGTCGAATTCAAGCGGCAGTCCATGCGTACCCTAAGTCTGAATGATTGCGAATGATACCACTACTAACAATTGCTGTTACCGTGCCAATACGCATGGAGGTTCGAAAGCTTCAATGTTGCTGATGCATTGGCGCAACGTGTGATGTCATATGTAAGGTGAGCGACAAGGGACATTCAGTCGCGAGAATCTAACACCGCCGATGATGTCGAGCGCACTAACGCGCCACCGATACCGCAACGCGACGCGCGGTCTTCGTTCGCAGGGCTTCAGCAATAGCTGGCTGCATGGAAGGACTACTCAAGTTTACCACCTATCAACCGCGTAATTACTTTGACTTGCCACCACACCCAACCGAAACTCGTGGCCCGGATGGTTTAAAGAAGCGTCACCTCTTCCGCCACGCCCGCACACTCCTGATAAACGCCCCCAGCGTTACCCACTGATCCACCCCCGAACATCCCGAAACGCGGACATAAAAATCAACTCCTTCATGTCGCATCGAATCTTACTGTTACATCAAGAGTCCTCCGAAATGAGCAACTCGACCAACTGCCTCAATCAACTCGAAGCAGAAGATCACGATCTGCGAGATTCGGGGATAAGCGTCACTGATCATGCCAACCTGAACAACTTCAACAACACTTGTTACGAAGACTTTGATCTGCGCACACATCAACAGGAACTAAATATTACTCCAAGCGGTGGTGATAAGTCACCTAAAATGGAGAATCCACCACCGATTCCGCCTAAATTCGGCACTTCTAGTTTGGGCTCGAGTACGGAGTTCAGTGGGAGTTTAGAGCGAAAACGGGCAGATTCCATTGCGTCCGTTGGCGATGTTGTCGTCAACGCAGAGAACTATGCCATACCTAAGCTAAAGAACGAGAACAAGAGCGAGGAACACAACGCATAAAATTCATTCATCGTTTTATTTGGTGCTGATTTACATAATCATTCGTGTCATAAGTTCGTTTTAATCGCAATGTCTTTGATAGGGCTAAGGCGAAGCGCGTCTACAAATGTAATTCTAAATTTCATTCCATGCTAATCATTTCCATTTGTAAGCAAACATATTTAATCTAAATCTAATCATATAGATAGGGCTTAGTCATAGGCTATCTTAGTTGGTACAACATTATTTCTAACACAAGCGAGGGACTAAAAACAAAACTAACTCAAACCAAAAAAACTAAAGAATCAAATCTCCGCGAATGTGCCAAAAACAAGTTTGGTAAGTGTGTATTCATAGGTTCCGATTACTTTGATGAGATTATACATGAAAACACGTCAACGAAACAATACCGCATCCACTCAAGAATATACTATTTACAACGTTTACAATATTTACAATGATTATCTCAATCTATTGATGTGAATTAATGATAATATATTTAATTATTTTTATATGCGAGGATATTTTCCATGAGTTCGTGGTGCTATTTTGTCACTGTACTCTTATAATTGATTGGGCGCGCGGCGGAGAGCACTGAGATTTAACGCAGGAAAGATGTAATCAAATTCACTTGAGAATTATATACTAGTCATAAATGATAATTATATTTTAATCTCTATTTTATACTCTTAAGCGAGACCAAGTATTTTATTTTTATGTAGTTTGTAAATCGAGACTAGGGAATGAATAAGCGAAACGGAAATATTTAGATTATCAATAATTGTGTAGTAAAATCAAATAGAGTCATGATGAACATATAAGAGTTAACATTTATTTATATATATATTCAAAAGTTTGTTTGTCTATTTATTAATACAGGGGGATGCGCATCGCGTGATTTTATTCCTGTCCATGTGAAGTGGACGCGTTTCACGAACACGGATGCCTTGCCGTTTGATTGCGGGCAAACTCACAGACTCATATGCACGCCTTACTACCATCAACAAACCTTTTACATATTGTGGGCAGGCAGCTTTATGAGGCAATTAATATTGTACTCTCGATATAATTACGAGATGGCGCTTCGATGCACATTTTAACAAAAAGTTTTGGTGCCCGAAGTGGCGTGATCTAGCGCGATTGTGCACTTTATCTCTTATCTTAGTGCACAACGTACCGATAAAAAAACTTGCACGTTGTGTTTACCTGTGCACAAACTGTACTCTGCAGTTAAGTTCGGTCTGTTATTGATGCAGGGTGGTACACGATTAACTCTGCTCGCGCAAGTTTATTAAAACTTTAATTCGACGAATCGAATTTTATTATATAAAAGTTGAAAATACGTAATTTGAACCGTGCGTCTTGATTTAATAAGTGTCTGTGGAACGTTTGCAAATCCGGTGCCGGAGAGATGTGTATTTATAGTCACTTCGTACTCTATTTTGGATCAAGTAAGTAACATAAATCATTTATTTAAGTTCTTAATGACATTACAAATATTTTTATTCTTAACGCAAAGAGCAGGAGTTATGCGACGCCTGACTAGGAAAACTGACTATTGCACGTTGTATACAATTACATTACTAACAATTCGGGTTGGCTTTTTCATGTTTTATATAAATTTTTATACATGTATGTATATAAATTTAATATCGTCAAGTATCTGATTACTTGGATTTGATGCTTTCTTTAAAAAAACGCCCTTACAGTTGATTATCGGTGCAAAGTTTAATGCACCAGGTTGAAATTTCAATGCTTGTCTCGTCACGTATGCTGCGGGCGCGCGTGCCTTCATTCTAGTCAATTTGTTGTTGTCGATCTAATGGACAACCATCCTTTGCTTATAGTTTATATGTAGTTACAAACATATGTGGCTTAGTAAAAATGATTCCCATGTGAAATGATCTCAAAACGCTATGGGGTAAGGATCGCAATTAGGAACAAATCGAATTTTCATCTCTTGTGGAACCAAGTTGTTGACGTCGTGCGAAATGATCTAATTCTTTTTTTTTTGCAGCACTAGCTTTTGATGTGCGACATGCAATATGCTGGTAAGTTAATAATTTAATTATCCATGTTATACATAAATATGCGCGTAGTACATGCATATTAGAATTGTATTCGTTTCTTTCTATAATCGCTTATCAGTGTTTGTGTATAAACAACTTTTTTCTTTATCGAACTCGACTTTCGCGTGCCGTTACAGTATCCACAACGTGCTTTGAAGTATTTGACTAAAATGCTATGTTTATAATCGATGTAGGTACTAGTATAAGTTCTGCAACTCCTTTTCCCTAAATATGATTAACACTTCAAAACTATCGCGCACAGAGATTCTCTATTTCAAATCGAATTGCCGCTTCCTGAAATCACGCTAGAAATGCCCTAAAATCGCTCTTAAACTTTTACTATTTGTCTGTATTTTTAAAACACTTGGTGGAAATTAGGCTGTATCTCGGGAACCGTTTGTGCGATTTTAATGATATTTTCAAATTTATATAAAGCGATAGGCATTTTATGCGATACGACATTGCCACCCCCAGAAATCACGCTAGAAATGTTATAAAATCGCTCTTAAACTTTAACGATTTGTGTGAATTTTCAAAACACTTGGTGGAAAGTTGGCTGTATCTCGGGAACCGTTTGTGCGATTTTAATGATATTTTCAAATTTAGATAAACGATAGGCATTTTATACGATGCGACATTGCCGCCCCTGAAATGAACGCTAGAAATGCCTTAAAATTGCTCTGAAACTTATACGATTTGTGTGAATTTTCAAAACACTCGGTGGAAATTTGGCTGTATCTCGGGAACCGTTTGTACGATGTTAATGATATTTTCAAATTTAGATAAAGCGATAGGCATTTTATACGATGCGACATTGCCGCCCCTGAAATCACGCTAGAAATGCCTTAAAATTGCTCTGAAACTTATACGATTTGTGTGAATTTTCAAAACACTCGGTGGAAATTTGGCTGTATCTCGGGAACCGTTTGTGCGATTTTAATGATATTTTCAAATTAGATAAAGCGATAGGTATTTTACGATGCGGCATTGCCGCCCCCAGAAATCACGCTAGAAATGCCTTAAAATTGCTCTGGAAACTTTACAATTTGTGTGAATTTTCAAAACACCCCGGTGGAAATTGGCTGTACTGGGAACCGTTTGTGATTTTAATGATATTTCAAATTTAGATAAAGCGATAGACATTTTTATACGATGCGACATTGCCGCCCCTGAACACGCTAGAAATGCCTTCAAATTCAATGAAACTCTTACAATTTGTGTGAATTTTCAAAACACTGGTGGAAATTTACGTAACTAAGTTGCTATAAAATAAATAATATAAAACAAAAATCTTTTGTTGTTTTGCTAACATAACCAGTTATATAATTATTTATTTCACTTTTAGAAAATGTAGTTACGATTATAACACTAACACTGAAAAGAACTAAATATGTTATTGGCATATAAACGTAGCTATATTTAGTGTAAAGTACGCTTTACACTTGGTTTGATGTGTGTTAACTAGGCTCGGTAGATTGTCACAATTATACCAACCACGAATGCCAACATAAAATATAATACATATAAATATAAATATATGTAAATTTTACTATTGTTTCTTATTGCCAATATAATAACTTATATAATTATTTAATTCAATTTACAATGTGAGGTGTTATAATTCTTATCACTTTAGCAGTGAAATAGAAATAAGGAATATTTTGCTGTCCTAATATTACAAGGGGTGAAGTAACCTTTACAAAAAATGTTTGTGTTCTATGTGAGCCTTAGAAGTTGTACATAAACGTTTAGTCGTGTGCGCGCGGAGAAGCACGATCACGCCTGAGATTTGAATCGTGCGCCCCTTCCGCATTCCGCAAGTCTGGAGAAATGTGTGCCAAGTAAGTTCCAGAATAAAGCCTATTCCCAAATACTATAAACTACTATATTTACCCTTTTCTACAGTTCTCGGGAGCGCCGTCTTAAGAACAACAGAACCGTTTTAAAGATGGGTTGTTAAATAGATTTCGATTCTAGTTCATTGTATGTGAGAAGTAGTACCAAGGTGAGTGCAATCGGATGTAAATGGTTTGAATTATCTTTGTTCGTTATTATGTTAATGCAGTTTTGTCTCAGGTGGATGTGGAAGCGACCTATTAATCTGCACGGGGTCGCGTTCATGACGTTGGCGTTTTTTGGTTTCCTCAGAACGTATACGCCATGTACATTGTTTCATATATGGACCGGAACAACAAAGATCTGCCGCCGAAACGGCTTTTGCTCTACCTCGCCCAGGCCCGGCACGTCAGCCAGAACCCGCTTCCCTACCAGGGCTTCACACGAGACGACTGACGAGACTATCACCAGTATGTCTCGGTTCGGTATCGTCTCGTAAAAAGCGATACGAGACCGAGACGATACGAGAAAAGTCTCATGATACCCGTGAAGCCTTTGTTCTTATAATTTTTCAGATTTAATGGTTTTAAGTAAAGAAAACATTGAAGATCTTTTTGCAGTTCAAAGTTTAAATTCATTTAATACCCAAAAATACATACATAGGTAAATAAAATATATATTATCATAATAAAATATTAATTATCACAATTAAAATTAAAATTATGCAAGTATCACTTTTAATTGAAAAATATAGAATAAACTAGGATACAAATGTACGCTAGGGTACAATAATCGAGTTGATTATAGCATAAATTTTTATTTGACAAGATTCATATACACTTATGCTTATATATACTTATATATACTTATATACACTCTCATTGAAAAAAGCCTAATTAAATATAAATTTACCTATTCTACCTACCTATTTTACTACTTCTAATTTTATCTTTTTAACTGCATGATGACCAAGAATTTCAAGTAAGAGTAACGGCTGCATTACATCATCTTTTAATGATGAACGTTTACTTGTCATAATCATACCTGCTGTAGAAAATAACCTTTCTACAGGTAAATTGATGTAGCCATTGTGCTGAATAAACCTTGCTATCATATTGAAAGTGTAGGAACACTTTCTCATGTTCCTTCCACTCATTCCAAAATATTTTATTCTATCCATGTGTCTAACAGCAAATACTCTTCAAACTGAGCTTTCCAATGTTTCTGAAGATCTATTGGATGTTCCTATATGCTTACACGTCGTACTGGCTATTTTTAATTGAATTTGTATTTCTTTCAATTATCGCGTCATTAGGTTGCTCGAGGTGTTTTTCGTATATCTCTTTATAAAATAGTTCGGAAACATTGGATAGCTGCATGTTTTGTAATTCTTTTGCCCTAAATTAGTTTTATCAAAACAATTCAATTTTTGTGTCGAGGATCTAAAATTAAACTGGAACAATAAACCCAATTGGTTTTTGTAGTGCTTTTAACATCTTATCCCTGATGCTTGAAAAGCAATTAAAGAGTTTCTGTCGACAATAGTGCGATTTGCCTTATTGTCTAACCTCGGAAATTGTCGATTCAATATCCGAGATAAGCATGTTAAAAGCAACTCAACAATTGGTAAAGCGTCACATATTTTTCCCTTAATAAATTGCGTGTTTGACACTATTTTAAATTTTTTAAAATATATATCTGTTCAAGCAATAACGTAATTCATTCTCACTTAGTTTTAACATTGCTATATACTTTTTATTATTTTCCTTCACTGAGCTAAAATATATTTCTAAATCATTTTAAATTAATTGACTTCAATCATATCATGGGTACTGTCTCCATCTAGTCTTAATATCTAAAATAGGTTTAATATATCTTGTTGTCGTTATTTTACAAAAGTCGATTAATTTATTTTGTAACTGCTCAGATTTTCTTATTTTAATAAATGTACGACGCAATTTACAAAATGCAGACGATGGACTAAAATCGTTGATTTCAGTCCATTCATTTTCACTTAAATCGTCATCATCTGTATCGTCTACTACGATGTCCGGAATAATACTTTCGAATTCAAAATCCACTTTCAACATTTTTAAAATATCTTGAACTCCAAGGTTCAAAATGTGAGCAAAACAACGAAAATGTTGATTTACATGATCGAACAATCATTTTTTCCATCAAAATATGCAATTCACTCATAAATGTAGTGTTGGCCGCTGCATTATCGACGGTTATTCTTTGAATTTTATTTTGTAACCCGTATTCTGTAATGCATTTAAAAAAAACTTCCGCGATATCTTTTCCACTGTGTCGACCACAAGAAGGAATAAAATCTAAAGCTAAAGAATGCAGCTGCCAATTATCATCGATGAAGTGAATTGTTATACCGTAATATGACCTAAAGTTCATTGAAGTCCAGCCATCAACAGTGAATGAAAATTTAGAACAGTTTTTGCTCAAAATTTCCTTCACTCTCAATCGTTGCATGTTCAAATGCTCTATCACCATTCGCCGAGCACAATTACGTCGTGGTACAGTGATGTTGGGATTTAAAATATGAAAAAAATGTTGAGAGTCGTCGTCATCGAAAAAATTCAAAGGCAATTTTTTCTTCGCCATCCACTCCACAATTATTGCTTCATAATTTTTCGGTGATAATTTATTCTAAAATATTATATTCCTTTAATTTTTGATGACAAACACATACTAAAGGGTTTTATGATATTGAAGTCAAAGACAAGTTTGTTTCAAAAACTACATTTGAGATTGAGATTGAAATAAAATTAAATTACCTGTTCAGAAAACATATCCGTCAATTTTTTTTGACCTGCTGGCACTGGTTTTTGAAGCGTAGTTAGGTTTCCAAAAATTTCTTCGTACGCCTTTGAATGAGCCGACTGCAAATGCTTCTTCATACCGGAAGTATTGTTATCTTTTCTGCTAATAATTTTTGTCACTCTGGATTTTTCACACACTAAACATATTGCTTTTTTTTTCACCATTAATTGTTTTAAGTGTAAAGAAATTTGCAAATTTTGAATTTTTCTTTTTAGGTGGTTGATCAACATCACTTAAAGTTTCACTTATTTCATCTTCACTTTCGCTTGACCTTTCCCTCTTTTTTGGGTTTTCCTCACATAAAATCACACTCGCCGACATTTTAGTATATTTGAAGTCAAAAATTTGTAGATCTTCACGGTTTAAAAGTTTTCGTTAAACTGATGAACTCTTTAGAGAATTTCTCTGATCTCCAAAATGCTGTCAACTTAAACACTTTCGTTACGCACTATAGCATAAATTTTATTTGACCAGATCTATTACATAGATCTACCCTTCCCCAAATGTATACAATATCTTTGCTGTTCATATCTTTGTTCAAGAAGAACAGAAGAACACAAAAATATGTCTAGGGATGTATAAATAAAGACAAAGGTTTCATAAAACTTTCAAAAAGTCAAAACATAATAGTCAAAAAGGTCAAAATCATATTCGGTTATTAAGTTGTCTACAAAATATTGTCAACATGAACACTTTTTCGTCCCGGACTATAGCATAAATTTTATTTGACAAGATTTATTATATACCCTTGCTCAGTGAATACAATACTTTTGCTGTTCATATATTTGCTTCAAGAAGTACAGAAAAACACAAAAATATGTCCCCGGATGTATAAAACAAAGACAAAATTTTCTACAAAACTTCAAAAAAGGCAAAAAGGTCAGTGATATCTGGTTACTGACTCAATTTTGAATATACAAAAGAAATATTTCTACAAATGGTCATATATTGGACAAGTATGTAATTAAACGAATTTTATTTTTCGGTTTTTAACTTGTCAATTCATTAAAATGCACTTATAATTAGTGTTTGCTCTAAAAATACAGAACTGAATCCTAAAATAAATATTTGCACTTAGAAAAATGAATTCCACTTGAATAAAATGCACTATGAAATTAATACTTTGCACTTATAAAACTTTCCACTATAAAATTAAAATAAAAGTTATACAATCTATTGTATAACAGCAATTTCTTGAAAGTAAAGTTTAAAAACTTAAGTGCGGCTGTTCAAGTGGATTAATTTAACTAAAGTGCATATAGCCCCTATTGGATTTCATATATTGGCCCTTTCCCATACTTTTTTTATCAATAATATCCACTTCCATAAAAAAAATTTCACGAGACCAATAACGACCAAAATGAGACTCGACTGTGGTCTCGCTATCGCCGAGAAATTGATAAACACGTCTCGTCTCAGTATCGTCTCGCTTTTCCGAGCCCGACCAAGCCCGACGCGCCCCAATCCTCAGAGCCAACTCTTATCCCGAAGTTACGGATCTAATTTGCCGACTTCCTTACCTATTATTCTATCGACTAGGCTATTCACCTTGACTTGCCGCGAGCTGCGGCAATGAGCCGGCAGGACACCTCCACGTAGCCCCTCTCCTGAATTTTCAAGGTCCGAGGGGAATATCCGACACCGCCGCAACTGCGTGGTGCCTTTCGCGTTCCAAACCATATCTCCCCAGAGGATTCCATGGAACTGCACATGCCACGGTTGAGTATAAGCACGACGCTTCAGCGCCATCCATTTTCGTGGGCTAGTAACTTCGGCAGGTGAGTTGTTACACTCAACGTTTGGTTCATCCACAGCGCCAGTTCTGTTTACCAAAAGTGGCCCATCGGCACTCTGATTCGTTCAAATTCTCGCGGCTTCAAGTATATAACATTCAAGCAAGCTGAGATCTCACCCATTTAAAGTTTTCTGAATAGGTTGAGTAGCGACCCCAATGCCCTCTCAATCATTCGCTACCGGATAAAACTCGTTAAATGAGCGCCAGCTATCCTGAGGGAAACTCTGGAGGAACCAGCTTACTATGAATCGATTAGTTCGCCGCTATACCCAGTTCCGACGATCGATTTGCACGTCAGAATCGCTACGGACCTCCATCAGGGTTTCCCTGACTTCGCCCCCAAGTGACCAGGCATAGTTCTCCATCTTTCGGGTCCCAGCGTGTGTCGTTTCCAGGTGCGCTCTTCTCGCAATGAGAACGACGCCCTGGAGTGCGAAGTAACTTATGCTGCCCATCTTCCTCTGCGAAACCAAATTTCATTCACTTTCATTAG